AATGGCGGTATCCAAGTTGGAGGAAGGAGGGGGCCGGTAAGTTTTACCCATCACAATAGTTCAACATTCAAGTGTAAGAGAAGATTTGCAGGCCTCTCACAACCCATGGTTTACAGTGAGGGATTAGCCTGTGGCCATCTCCAAGGTCCAAACTCTGGTTTGGCCCAAAAACACAGAGCTCTAAAACATGAGAAATACCGCTTAGAGAAGACTTGTACGTGGCCGTGTCAATCACAGAGTACAGGCTCTCTATATTCTCGTTCTCCGTATGGTGCATGAGGTAGAAGAGCTTCCAGAGCATGCCGCTCGACAGGGTCCCATAGGGCATCTCAGACATGAAGAGCCAAATCCCCAACCTGCGAGAGAGGACAGATAAATAAAACTTCTTACAGCACTTCAGTTTCACAGATTTGTTGGTGTGCTCAAAGTGATTGCAATGGATAGTGCTGTGCCAGAGCCAAATTAGGAGCTACAAAGTCACCAGCACTCTAAAAAAAATGCATATCAACTATTTATAGGGAAGGCAACATCACATAAGTCAAAGAATACCAACGTTTCAGGGTCCCTTGCTCAAGGCCACATAGTGAAATTACATAAAACACACATATACCCCAATATAACATATAGACTTCTACGTGACGCCCTCCCGGGACATCATAATGCCACCAAAAAGCAAAGAAAAAAAAAAAAAAAGAGAAAATAAATGCTGCAATAAACCATACGAAGGATCAAAGAGGACATGATTGGGGCTGGTCTGTGGAGTTGCTTTTGCCTAGCAATGGTGGAATCGGGAGTTTTCACTCCCTACGAGGAAGTGAAAGGGAATGTAGGGCTATTTGCAGTTCCCATTAACAGGAGGTATTTGTATGCTGTGACCGATTGTACAGTAATTGCTGCACTTATTTTCTCATGCTTTTGGTTTATGGTAGCATTATGACATCACTATGACATCATGGAAGAGTGTCACTCAGGTCACATCAGGGTATATAGGTGTGTTTGTTACATGTGTTGTCACTACGGCGATGTCTTCACTAAAAGTACGTGATATGCAGTAATTAGGACAGAACACGTCCATGGGTATGCACAGAATCACATACCCATGGGTATATAGTACGTAGAATATACCATAATGACTCGCTGTCGGTATGTGGCATCTGTTAGCGAATCGCCCCTTGCAATCCCATAGTTTGACAGCCCTGGACCTCAACTACATAAGCCAAGGATCCTGGCCCCCAAAGCCTTCCGAATCACTTCCACATTGTAGCTGGGAGTGTGTGGAAGTAAAGTAAACTGCTATAGTAGGGTTAAAAATTGCAAACAGGGGTGAGGGCATGTGTCCCTCCTATGAATGGTTACTTAATCCTCCTGTCCCATTGCACTCCTGACCGGACAAAAACCCAAATCCAACTGGGTGGGTGCGGTGGTGACAACGGATGCCTCCTATGAATGGGTCCGGTCTCTGTTAAAGTTTATATCTGGGCAAAAAAAAATGTATGCCAATTTCGCCAAGCATTAATCCCTTTAATATGCTGCACGTATTTTAAAAATACCCAGGAAATGAGGGTGTCAATTTTGCAGTTGTGTAGCTTTTTTTACCCTTTGGGTGCCATGGCGTATAGTAAATACTGTACACCAGGGCGTACAGTAAAGTAAAGCTGGGGGGTGCCCAGTGTCCAAATGTTCATACCTCTTAGCCTTCAGCACATAAAGAACCATGGTCAGGAAGAGTTCATCATACACCGCCTGCAGCTTCCCAAGTGAGTACAGCTCGGACGTCTGCTCTTTGTCACAGTTACTCCTCAGGTACAGAGCCCAGTGGTCACTGACATAACTTAGCGTCATCCTAGAGAATAAACCAGATCTAGTTTACTATTCGATAGATAAAAAAAACAACTTTATTAACTTGAAAAGAAAATGTGACATTAATATTACATGAAATAGAAACTGTAATCTTACATTTATATTTGTGTGTATAGTATACATATGCATTGGCGGGTCAGGAATGTTTTGGAGGCAAAAGGGGGACCTGCTCAATATTAGGCGGGCGGCAGGGACGTCCCGAGGCCGGGTGTCACCTGGAGCAGATACCGAGTGACACCCAACCATGACATCATCGCGCATGCAAGGACATCTTTTTGATACTTGCCGGTTGGCTATCTTGGTGATGGACGGAGGAGGGGCCCCATCCTCTCTCTCTTGCAGTTGTTGGACTCTCCGACCATGACCGAGTGCCCGACTTTTCAGAGGGGGGTGGTTGGAGTTGACGTGATACCAAGATGACTGTCAGTCATTTTGGTGTCACCCTGTCACCGCGCACCCCCCACGTGATGCCACTGGTGGGTGGTCATATTGTTTTGACTGATAAGTGTATGTATGATGTGCGTTTCTATAATTATATGGACACGGGGGAAGCCATATTTGCTGAATGATATTACCAGCATACTGTAATAAGAAGCAGAATATTCTCTAACATTTTTCAGAGTATTTCTTTGTCACTATTTGCTGGGGCTGGCAAACAACAGCAAGATACTGATCCTTGCTATTCAATCCCATGGTACTGGAATTTAGGCAGCACTGGCCAACCAGCTTATTCATTCAGGGCCCATTCACACCACCCAACCATGAGGTAATGTGCATTTTCGTTGTGCATTAAGGTACCTTGAAGCCCTTTCATTTTGAAAAGGCTGCCTAATGCAGCCCACCACAAAGCACATCAATGCACAAAAACACGTGCACTGTAGCACAGTGCAATATGGCTTGAATAGAACCTCTATACCGGAAGAGAAAGTTTTATATTAACCACTTGCTGGCCGGGGTGTTTCACCCCCTTCCTGTCCTGGCCATTTTTCAGTATTCAGCGCTGCGGTACTTTGACTGACATTTATTCCGTAATGCAACGCTGTAACAAAATGAATTTTATACCATGTTTTAGGGACAGATACAGCTTTATTCTGACATTATGGAGACATTAGGGGTCTCTAAGACCCCTAATGTCACCTTGGAACCCCCAAAGAAGCTGATGAAGCAGAGATCTGCATCTACAGCTTTTTCCCTGGCTAGCAGCCAGAGAAATGACAGCTAAAAGGCAGAAGTGACTCAATACACATCGCTTCCGCCTTTAGAAAGAGAAGGAGGAGAGATGAGCGGTGGGGGAAATGCTGATCTCTCTTCCTTCTCTGTACTAGTAGCCGCTGTGCCGGCGTTCACCCGCCAGGAAGCATCCACTGTCCGCACGTATTTTTACGATGGGCGGACGGCAAGGCGTTAACGTGCCATAGTTTTCAACTTTGAATAACTCCATAATACAAAATCAAGCTCATTACCTGATAATGCGTCCTATTCTTTTCACAAACTGGCGGTATCGCGCCCTGTTATAGGTGTCCAAGCCCAGGGCCAGAAGCTCGACTAAGGAGTTAGCAAAGGCAAAGATCTTCATCATTTCTTGTGGTGTGGTTTTTTCAGGGAAATATTCCTCTAGTGAACAAAAGAGATAAGACAAAATATCAGTAAAATATATTCAAGTGAAATATAACATTAATGCCACTTCCAGTCCCAGGAAAACCTTGTTCCTATCTCATAAAATAGGATCTTTCTACTCCCCATAAATCCTTTTCTTAAAATTCATAGAGGGACACAGGAAGTCTTAAACCTTTAGGTTATACTGTCGCCTACAGAAGGATTGAACACTGATGAGTAAATAAAAAAAAATTGGAGGCCAGCCCAGAGCATTACCCCTCTTACTACCAGCATGCCTCAGTTTTGTAGCAAATCAGTACCGAGTTCTTGAGCATAAACACAGACTTGCAAAGCCAAAACTATGCGTACAGCTCAAACTGCATCCACACAGTGGAGGGAGGTTTCCTTTTGATGAAATGGAGTTGGAGAGAGACTGACTTATGAACAATGTCCTGATTACAGTGGAAAGCGTAAGGTCTTAATCCGAGAGTGGGAAGCCAACGGTCTCTGAAACGGAACAGAAAGGGCAGAGAAATGGCCCTTGATGGTAATAAGAGCTTATCATTGGTCCACACCAAATTGCAGAAAAGAGAGGATGCGTCCACTCTCTTGGGTCCAAGCACACCCAGTTAAAGTAATCTCAATGACAATCGTCTATGATGGGAATACACACAGCTGACAAGGCTGGAACGTGAAGTTCATCCGTCCTCCTAGGACACTAGCAAAAAACAAAAGCATGCTGGTAGTAGGAAGGGTTGTACCCTGAGCTGGCCTACAGTTACTTGTTTGCCAGTGTCCAATCCTCCTGCAGGCGGCAATATAACACAAACGTTTAATACTTCCCGAGGACAATGGACGGGAATGAAAATACATATCTATATCTAATGCTGCAGTACTTCCTAATAAGAGACATGATTCTCTGAAGTACATTCAGTGGCCCAATAATGATCACAGGAATCAATTGAAGAAATGTCACCAGCACACCAAAAATCCTTTCAGGATAACCATGCTGTCAATGTTACTCCTGATGAAGGGACCTTGCGCTTGTTTTTACTTGACATGGTTCTTATTAAATGAACACATGGTTATCAAACGCACATCCGAACTGCATGTCCTCGGACGCAGACAGGATCCATCCTGTCTGCGTCCGAGTACGGACACCCGGACCAACGTGTATGTGCAGTTCGGGTGTGCGTATGTCAGCGTACGGCCGCATCCTCCCATAGGGAAGAACAGGCTGCTGCTTGCAATCACACGCGGCACCTGTCCCTCCCGGGGCCGGCCCGATACAGCCATGCACGCCGCATGGATCTGTACGGCCTGACTCTACTCTGTGTGAATGAGGCCTTATTAATGGAAGACAGCTTACCTCTTGAATTGAACCCGAGAACATTCTTGAAAAGTTCATGAAACGGGAACTGTCCCAAAAGGCAAATAAGGTCTTCTTCCGACAGCAACATCCAGCTTGTCTCTGGCTCTTCATCCTATGACACAGGGGACACAGAAGGCAATGAGAACCTGTCTGAACACACCGTTCAGTATTAGCACTGGACAATACGTGTTCATCTCAAGCCCAACTCAAACCAAAACCTTTTATTTTAACTTTGGACAGAGTGAGAGAGAGAGAGAACCTCCATCAACCTTTTGCTGCCATTGATGTACCTGTTGGGTAAATTTCTTCTAACTTCTTGACCTGATACCCACCACCTGAACAGGAAGTAAGGAGAAATCTCCCTCATGGCTACATATACAGCAATAAAAAGCCAACAGAGGTTCTAACTTTCCCCACTTCATCAAAGAAACAAATGTCCTGGTTGAAGTTGGCAATTAAAGTCTTCTTCTTGTCCATGGAGGAATCATTTAAAATCGAGTATTTATGTGCATGTATAGCCAATTGTTAGATTTTGAATGGAGTAAAGGGCTAAACCCATCAGGTTATATTTTGTGTTGTCTGTGTACCATGGGGGGGGGAGGGGGAGTTCTTTACTTCCTGTCCCAGAGAAGCAACAGGAAGTTAGAGAAAATCTCCCAAAGTGAGGACAGTTATTCCTGGAACAGGTTTCTCCACTAGAAGATTTTTCCTTCTTTTTCTGGGGACAACTCTGAACGAGTATAGGGGCGGAATCTCCCCAATGGGGACTCAGACAGCAATAAAAAGGAAAACAGAAGGTCTAATGAGAACGGGAAAAAAGGGTTTTGCCTAAATAATCACTTTATTAGATTTATACAACATTTATATCTTTACTTCTTTTACAAAAACACACATTTGAGAATAACCAGCACTATACAGACTTGTCTTACCTCCTCGCCTCCCTCATCCACCAGTGTCCAGTTTCCAGACTCTTTTCCCGCCGAGGAGCCTTTTCTCTCATTGGGTTTCATATGACACAGGAAGTCGGTGCGGTTTCTAAAACAAAGGTCGAGAAAGAAATGTTACCCCTAATAAGATCGCACCAAGCAATCCAGACAAAGCTGAACTCCGGCCTTCCCTTCAGTCTTATATGTGACCTCCGGCCTCCCCTTCAGTCTTATATCTGAACTCCGGCCTTCCCTTCAGTCTTGCACAGTTGCACCGGCTCCTCTCCCGGACTGAAATGGCTTCCTCTGATTACACTGCACACTGTGAGCTCCTCACAATATGCATTAGAAGTTGCAGCGAGTCAGAGAACCCGTCTTGGATGGAGGACGTCCAGCATCATCTCTAGCACTTTCCTCCCCAGCCTGACTGTCCCTGGCCCCGCCCTTTTATTTCATTGGATTTCAGTCCTTTCAGGCTCAGCATCACCTGTGGGTGTGGCCTAGAAAGTTCTGTATGCAAATGCACCCTGCCTAGGAACTTCTACTTCTCCAGACTGACACCAACCCATCAAGGCATGATGATATTTGCATAACTCCTCCCAAAGGCCAGCCCATTGCTTGCATCAGGACTGAGGGCTCTTGAGAGCAATACTGAGACAGGGTGTTGCAATGTTTTCAGGAAGCTATGTACCGAACCCTGCTGGCCCCTCCCACCAGCAATGATCTTACTGAATTGCACAGAGTCCCAATGATGACAAACAGAAAGGTTTTATTTAAAAATACCATTAGCATGTAGATGAGATGGGGGTAGAGGGAGGGTCCAGGGAAGGCAAAATATTTAAAGCTTTTTAACATTTTAAACTTCAGCTTTAAATGTTCAATTCAGCCAAAGTTTAGATTTAAAGTAAACTCCAGACAAACAGCTGCAGTAACTATACAGCTGAAATACCAATACAGGTACCAATACAGATCACCAGCAGCAGCCAACAATAACTACATGTCTGTGGTCACAGGCAACAGCAGAGCAGAGTCTCAGAAAGACACCAACGGGTTCTCCAGGCATGTCTATGTGATCGTTTCAGATGAGCCCCGAAAGTCAGTCATTGGGATCAGTATAAACAAATTGCTCACATTAGGCAACCACATTCTAGATCAGACTTTCTCAACCAGGGGGCCTTCTGGCTTCCTCAGGGGTGCCTGGAAAGTTTGTGATGGTAGGACTCTGAAGTAAAAAGGGGGGCTCCGATATAAAGGGGGGACCCTGACGTAAGAGGAAGGGGGACGCCTGATGTAAAAGGAAGGGAGACTCTGATGTGAAGGGGGCTTCTCACGTGGAAAAGACATTCTGCTGTGAAGAGGGGGGGAGACCCTGACGTGAAGAGGGGGGGAGACCCTGACGTGAAGAGGAGGGGAGACCCTGACGTGAAGAGGAGGGGAGACCCTGACGTAGGGGATCTACTGATGTAGAGGGGGACTATGATGTGAAAGGAAGAATTCTGATGTGAAAGGTGGGCTTTGATGTGAAGGGGGGCTCTTGTTTTGAAGGGAGCACTTCAATGCGAAGAATGGATCTTTTTCATGTGTTTTTGCATGGAACCCCCCCCCACCCCCTTACATTTTAGACTAGGGTGACTCACGATTTTGCACAAGAGGAATTAATGCTGCGCTCTGGGATTCCTGCGTCAAGAACCTATGGATTCTTCCAGCAGGAATGCCAGGTGTCCAGTTCAGATGCGGCCGCTGTATCTATTCAAGTTAATGACACGGTGACAGCGACCGCACCTGCAGACATTAGCGGAGATATCTTACCTGACCGGACACATGAGAACGGCGAGCTGCTGCATGAAGTGGAACACGCCGGCTGGATTGTGCAAAACTCGGACCTGAAAAACACAAAAGGCATTTCAGAAACAACAAGAATATTGTCCAGCATATCCCCATCTGTATTGGAAAGCATTATAAGATATGGGGCGCTTTTCTGACACAGTGTAAAATCTGCTGGAAATGTTAACTACAATCTAACTCTTATTTTAAATGCTATCACATGAGGGGGGGAGGGCTTCACAAGCCACCTATGTGATAGCATATTAGTGGTGACAGGTTCTCTTTAAGGTGATGTTAGGGGTTTATTAGAACACTAATGTCACCTTTCCACTTCAAACAAGGCTATTCATGCACAGACCAGGCTTGAATAGCTTCTTCCCCAGCTTCTCTAGCACTGTTCACTGGCGGGGGGGGACCCTGTTCACCAGCCCGTGGAAGCAGGTTTACAGGGGCCTATTCCCAGTGACGTACAGCATATGTCATTGGCAGCAACAGGGTTAAAGGAGGTACCCTTCACCGGTGGCCTAAGCTGGCCGTACACTGGTTACATTTTGGGCAAGTCCTGCTGACTGCCGAAACCTGAGCCATGTGTGGCCCTGACTGTGCACCTCCATTTGACAAAAGTCGATTTTTCAATGAGCTTTTGTTGAAGGAGCCCATCCAAAAATGAATGGCGGAACAGTGACCGAAGCCAATCAGCTGCAGTCCCCGTTTATGTGTTCTGACAGCTGCGGGTGCCAGCTGTCAGAATACAAAATCCGGCAGGGGAGATCCCCCATTCATGCTCCTTAGCGTGGATGGAGGAAACCAAGCGTTATGTATTGTTCAGCCCGCAGGGCGGCACTTCTACAACCTGCTTACCTGTATGAAGGGAACTGCCCATTTATTAATGCCAGCAGGACAGCGCAGGACGTGGTTTAGGAGGAAGAGATGATCCCCCAAACAGCCGACTTTCAGCAGCACAGAGACCTAAATAAGAAGAGGAGGAATACACAGGTGAGCCAATAATGTAACACTTATATTAAAATATAAATATTTTGTGAAGCCAATTCCCAAAATTATATCAAATTATGAATGCACTGATACTGGTTTTTCGGTATCGAGTACGACCACCGATACTTTTTTTTCCGGTACTCGCCCATACAGAGTACCGGTTCCTTGTGCCCCGATTATCAGGAAGCTGGGTAGTCATGGGGTGCAGCCCGGCTTCCTGATTGGTTAGGAAGCCAGGCTGCTTAGCAAACACGTACCGAGTATTTGGGCGAGTACGAATGCTCCGATACTTGCCTCAGATACCGGGAGATCTCCCTCTGACCGGCAGTGCCGAGGGAGCATGGAGCTGGCTTCCTTTCCAATCAGGAAACCGGGTGGTGGGTTATGACCGCCTTCTGGCTTTCCGACTGGCCAGGAATCTGGCTTCACGTGTTGCTAAGCGCTTCTCATTTGTCAGCATTCTCATTTGACCATGCTGACAAATGAGAAGCGCTTCTTCAGAATCAAGCGCTTTTGATTGGTCAGCATGGTCAAAAAGTGCTTCTCATTGGTCAGGTGACTGCACTGACCAATGAGTGTTCGACAGTTACGAGCAGTATATAAAATACAGACCGCAGGGCTGCGCTGCTGTGTACAGCACTCAGGTTCTACACCAGTAGTTGTGGAGGGGAGGGGCTTGTTGACAGGTAAGAGCAGCGGGGGGGAATTGGGGGCGAGATAGGAAGTGGAAACCCTTTAAATTAAAAAATCAAATCTGAATGCAATACTAACCCCCATCTAGGGTTGCCACCTTTCCCGGATTCACCTGGACGGTCCGGATTTTGAGTCCTGAATGTGCTGTGTCTGGGTTTCAGCTGGCCCAAAACCCGGAAACAGCACATACAGGACTCAAAACCCAGACTGTCCAGGTGAATCCAGGACAGGTGGCAACCCTACCCCCATCTCATTGGCCCCTGCCGACTCACCGCTTTGAGCTCCGGCACCTACTTCCTGTGAGCTCAGGAAGTCAATGACATGTCCCCTAAAGGGTGTATCATTAACCCACCCTGGGCCCATGGGAAAACAGTGCCAGGTCACTAATCTCTGCAACAATCTCACCCAGCATGTCACACTTGCAGCAAAAAAAAACCTCCTTCCATAGTCCCTGGCTTTATTCCTGCTTGGGAGTTTTAGGTGATTCCACTCACCTTGGGGTGTTCCCACTACACCTACGGCTTTTAAATGTGAAATCTATTATGAAGAGAGTGTGACTCCATTCCCAATGGCAGTGGCAACTGTGCATACGCAGTAACAGGCTTGGCTGAGGCTTTGAGGGACCAAAAAAACCCAATCATGTTAAGCTCTTCAGCTCTACCAAAAAAACTGAAATTGAAGCTCTAAGCGGACATCCATTTTACAGAAGTACTAAAAACGTTCCATAAAGAGGCCTATTCATTCCCTGAGCCCCCTGTGTGAAGATTCTAAATAACATAATGAGGGACGAGGGGAGAATGGACCATTCAGAGCACAAAACGAGATGTGTCAGGTGGCTCCCGTCTTCCATTAGACGGAGAAGTTTCTATGGAAACAACATCTCTCCAGCATCTTCATTGTCGGACCCATCATACTGCAAAGGGCTCCCTGCCAGAAGTGAAGTCACCTTACATGTACTGCGTACAGTCGTAGCTTCACCACCCGCTGACCAGAATCACCAAATGAGACCAAAGGCTACGGTACCCTCTGCCAACCAGTGTTCTGGATCAACAAAGACCAAGTGATAAGTGGTTGTTAAACTGAAACCCAAAGCACGTAACATTCACCTAAAAGGTCTTCCTTGCAATTGCCAAGTCATCCTATCTCCTTACATATGTGTGCATATGTAGCCTCATATGCACACATATGTAAGTAACCCCTCGCCCCTACATAAGGGAGTTGTTTTACCTACCAAACAATTCTTTGACCCTGACGTGAAGAGGAGGGGGGACCCTGACGTGAAGAGGAGGGGGGACCCTGACGTGAAGAGGAGGGGGGACCCTGACGTGAAGAGGAGGGGGGACCCTGACGTGAAGAGGAGGGGGGACCCTGACGTGAAGAGGAGGGGGGACCCTGACGTGAAGAGGAGGGGGGACCCTGACGTGAAGAGGAGGGGAGACCCTGACGTGAAGAGGAGGGGAGACCCTGACGTGAAGAGGAGGGGAGACCCTGACGTGAAGAGGAGGGGAGACCCTGACGTAGGGGATCTACTGATGTAGAGGGGGACTATGATGTGAAAGGAAGAATTCTGATGTGAAAGGTGGGCTTTGATGTGAAGGGGGGCTCTTGTTTTGAAGGGAGCACTTCAATGCGAAGAATGGATCTTTTTCATGTGTTTTTGCATGGAACCCCCCCCCACCCCCTTACATTTTAGACTAGGGTGACTCACGATTTTGCACAAGAGGAATTAATGCTGCGCTCTGGGATTCCTGCGTCAAGAACCTATGGATTCTTCCAGCAGGAATGCCAGGTGTCCAGTTCAGATGCGGCCGCTGTATCTATTCAAGTTAATGACACGGTGACAGCGACCGCACCTGCAGACATTAGCGGAGATATCTTACCTGACCGGACACATGAGAACGGCGAGCTGCTGCATGAAGTGGAACACGCCGGCTGGATTGTGCAAAACTCGGACCTGAAAAACACAAAAGGCATTTCAGAAACAACAAGAATATTGTCCAGCATATCCCCATCTGTATTGGAAAGCATTATAAGATATGGGGCGCTTTTCTGACACAGTGTAAAATCTGCTGGAAATGTTAACTACAATCTAACTCTTATTTTAAATGCTATCACATGAGGGGGGGAGGGCTTCACAAGCCACCTATGTGATAGCATATTAGTGGTGACAGGTTCTCTTTAAGGTGATGTTAGGGGTTTATTAGAACACTAATGTCACCTTTCCACTTCAAACAAGGCTATTCATGCACAGACCAGGCTTGAATAGCTTCTTCCCCAGCTTCTCTAGCACTGTTCACTGGCGGGGGGGGACCCTGTTCACCAGCCCGTGGAAGCAGGTTTACAGGGGCCTATTCCCAGTGACGTACAGCATATGTCATTGGCAGCAACAGGGTTAAAGGAGGTACCCTTCACCGGTGGCCTAAGCTGGCCGTACACTGGTTACATTTTGGGCAAGTCCTGCTGACTGCCGAAACCTGAGCCATGTGTGGCCCTGACTGTGCACCTCCATTTGACAAAAGTCGATTTTTCAATGAGCTTTTGTTGAAGGAGCCCATCCAAAAATGAATGGCGGAACAGTGACCGAAGCCAATCAGCTGCAGTCCCCGTTTATGTGTTCTGACAGCTGCGGGTGCCAGCTGTCAGAATACAAAATCCGGCAGGGGAGATCCCCCATTCATGCTCCTTAGCGTGGATGGAGGAAACCAAGCGTTATGTATTGTTCAGCCCGCAGGGCGGCACTTCTACAACCTGCTTACCTGTATGAAGGGAACTGCCCATTTATTAATGCCAGCAGGACAGCGCAGGACGTGGTTTAGGAGGAAGAGATGATCCCCCAAACAGCCGACTTTCAGCAGCACAGAGACCTAAATAAGAAGAGGAGGAATACACAGGTGAGCCAATAATGTAACACTTATATTAAAATATAAATATTTTGTGAAGCCAATTCCCAAAATTATATCAAATTATGAATGCACTGATACTGGTTTTTCGGTATCGAGTACGACCACCGATACTTTTTTTTCCGGTACTCGCCCATACAGAGTACCGGTTCCTTGTGCCCCGATTATCAGGAAGCTGGGTAGTCATGGGGTGCAGCCCGGCTTCCTGATTGGTTAGGAAGCCAGGCTGCTTAGCAAACACGTACCGAGTATTTGGGCGAGTACGAATGCTCCGATACTTGCCTCAGATACCGGGAGATCTCCCTCTGACCGGCAGTGCCGAGGGAGCATGGAGCTGGCTTCCTTTCCAATCAGGAAACCGGGTGGTGGGTTATGACCGCCTTCTGGCTTTCCGACTGGCCAGGAATCTGGCTTCACGTGTTGCTAAGCGCTTCTCATTTGTCAGCATTCTCATTTGACCATGCTGACAAATGAGAAGCGCTTCTTCAGAATCAAGCGCTTTTGATTGGTCAGCATGGTCAAAAAGTGCTTCTCATTGGTCAGGTGACTGCACTGACCAATGAGTGTTCGACAGTTACGAGCAGTATATAAAATACAGACCGCAGGGCTGCGCTGCTGTGTACAGCACTCAGGTTCTACACCAGTAGTTGTGGAGGGGAGGGGCTTGTTGACAGGTAAGAGCAGCGGGGGGGAATTGGGGGCGAGATAGGAAGTGGAAACCCTTTAAATTAAAAAATCAAATCTGAATGCAATACTAACCCCCATCTAGGGTTGCCACCTTTCCCGGATTCACCTGGACGGTCCGGATTTTGAGTCCTGAATGTGCTGTGTCTGGGTTTCAGCTGGCCCAAAACCCGGAAACAGCACATACAGGACTCAAAACCCAGACTGTCCAGGTGAATCCAGGACAGGTGGCAACCCTACCCCCATCTCATTGGCCCCTGCCGACTCACCGCTTTGAGCTCCGGCACCTACTTCCTGTGAGCTCAGGAAGTCAATGACATGTCCCCTAAAGGGTGTATCATTAACCCACCCTGGGCCCATGGGAAAACAGTGCCAGGTCACTAATCTCTGCAACAATCTCACCCAGCATGTCACACTTGCAGCAAAAAAAAACCTCCTTCCATAGTCCCTGGCTTTATTCCTGCTTGGGAGTTTTAGGTGATTCCACTCACCTTGGGGTGTTCCCACTACACCTACGGCTTTTAAATGTGAAATCTATTATGAAGAGAGTGTGACTCCATTCCCAATGGCAGTGGCAACTGTGCATACGCAGTAACAGGCTTGGCTGAGGCTTTGAGGGACCAAAAAAACCCAATCATGTTAAGCTCTTCAGCTCTACCAAAAAAACTGAAATTGAAGCTCTAAGCGGACATCCATTTTACAGAAGTACTAAAAACGTTCCATAAAGAGGCCTATTCATTCCCTGAGCCCCCTGTGTGAAGATTCTAAATAACATAATGAGGGACGAGGGGAGAATGGACCATTCAGAGCACAAAACGAGATGTGTCAGGTGGCTCCCGTCTTCCATTAGACGGAGAAGTTTCTATGGAAACAACATCTCTCCAGCATCTTCATTGTCGGACCCATCATACTGCAAAGGGCTCCCTGCCAGAAGTGAAGTCACCTTACATGTACTGCGTACAGTCGTAGCTTCACCACCCGCTGACCAGAATCACCAAATGAGACCAAAGGCTACGGTACCCTCTGCCAACCAGTGTTCTGGATCAACAAAGACCAAGTGATAAGTGGTTGTTAAACTGAAACCCAAAGCACGTAACATTCACCTAAAAGGTCTTCCTTGCAATTGCCAAGTCATCCTATCTCCTTACATATGTGTGCATATGTAGCCTCATATGCACACATATGTAAGTAACCCCTCGCCCCTACATAAGGGAGTTGTTTTACCTACCAAACAATTCTTATTTCTTTCAATCCAGCCGTTACACAAAGCTCTGCCACACAGCACAACCAGGATGGTGACCTGACCCCAGCCTGTCACTGGACAATGATGGAGAAGCGACACACTTATGAGGTCACCCATTCCTCATTCCTCCTATGAGCCTGTTGGCAGCACGAGTGTATTCAGCAGGCCTGAGTGGTCCCTAGTGCTGTGCCCTCCACCTAGTCTGCTGTACAAGAGGTTGTGACCAATTCAGATTCAGGTACTTGTACTAGTGGCATTGAAAAGTACACTATGGCCAACTGTTTGTGGCCATTTAACCATCACAACTACCTATATGACCCAAAGTATGTTGAGCACCCTCCAAATGACTGAGTTCATGGGTTTCCAGTGAAGGACACTGTTAAAGGAGAACTATGGGGTTAGGGGTTTTCCCCATAGTTCTCCTAAGGGTAACGGGAGGACACAAACTAGCGCCCTCCCGTCACCCAAAGCTCAGTATACCGCAAGCTACAGCTCGCGGTATACTGAGACGCCGCAGCCAGGACGGATCCCGACAATTATGTCTGCATCTACCCAGCTGCGTGAGTGACAGCGGGCTATGCCCATCTAGAGGAAGAGCCAGCTGTACCCGCCCCCTCCCCCATCCGTTCCGCCAGTCAGCGCTGAATGATCTGACAGGGAAGGGGGGAATCCAGTCCCTCCCCTGTCACGGCTCTCTGCAGTGACAGGATTGAGAAGTGAGCGAGCGACGGTATGTGTTCGCTCATTTCCCGATCTACTGAGCCCACGTGTGACATTTTCATTGTCACAGGTCAGCTCAGATTATGAGCCTGAGTGAAAATCACCCACCTCGTAGTTCTCCTTTAATGCTACAGCATACAGAGACATTTAGGGAGTTTTTCACAAAGCTGTTGAAGGCAGCTGAGTGAATACCCCAGCCGAAATGAAGTTCGGCTATTCACTTCTAGCTTGTCCAAAATCTGGATCGGCTGAGCTGATCTCATATAGGCCGAACGGTAGTGAGTGAGTAGCGGCATTCCGGTCAGCTATTCTCCGGTATCTCCGTGGTACCGAGTGGAATAGGAAATCAATGAAAAGGGCTGAAAATGTTTTTTAAAATGTAAACAAATAGTAAAATTAAAAAATAAAGATTTAAAAAAAAAAAAAAAACCAGTGACAGCTAGCTCTGCCCAATGGTTTCCTATTGGCCGTCACCTGCTAGAGTCTTCTAGCAGGTCCCGGCCAATGAATAACAACTGGGTGGAGCCGGCCGTGACATCACGGCCGGCTCCACCCAGTTGTTATTGTTTAATGACAGTTCAGCGTCCCCAGGTCATGCGAATCTGTCATTACAACTGGGCAGAGCCAGCCGTGAGATCACGGTTCGACTGAACCAAAGGGCTCCGGCGGCCGAAGAGAGCTGAAGGATCAGCCGAAGCTACGGCTGCATCCTTCGGCTCCTTCGTGAATTACCCCCTTAGACATTTGTCCCAGCATGGCTATGCTCCTGTGCACAAATCTCCATAAAGACATGGTTTGATTTGTATGATGTGAAGGAACTCAAGTGGCCTGCACAGAGCCCTGACCTCAACCCTACATAGCTTTGGAATGAAATAGAATGCATGACAGCATGACTGTGCCCTGCGCACTAATCTCCATATAGTCATGCTTTGACCAGACTGGTGTGACGGAACTCAGGTGGCCGGCACAGAGCTCTGACCTCAACCCTATGCAACTTTTGAGATAAATTGGAATGCATGGCAGCATGACTGGGCCCTGTGCATAAATCTCCATAAAGTCATGGTTTGATCAGACTGGTGTGGAGGAACTCAGGTGTCCTGCACAAAGCCCGGACCTCAACCCTACTGTACGGGATGAATTGGAATGCTGATTGCAAGTCAGGCCTTCACCTTCAACATCAGCAATTGACCCTACAAATGCTTATATGGCTGAACGGGCACAAATTCCAACAGACACCCTCTAAAAAAAAGCCTTCCAGAAAAGTGGAAGCTGGTGTAGCCGGAAAGGGGAGCCAACTCCATATTATCACCAATAGTTTTGGAATGGGATGTCCAGCAAGCTCATATAGGTGTGATGATCAGGTGTTCACAGATTTTTGCCTCACAGTGCCTATGAAATTATTTTCTGACAAAAACTCAACTGCCTGGTTGCCATCTACGGCAAACGTCTAAATGCTCTGGCTGAAAATTCTGCAGGGGTGTGACAGAATAGGACGGTATTTGAATGTAAGCCCTCAGGGGCAGGCCCCTCCTTACCATCTTGTCTTGTATTGTAATTGTAATGTCTTCCTTATATTGTAAAGCACTGTGCAAACTGGCGCTATATAAATTCTGTATAATAATAATAATAACAACATCTATGAGGCCTCCAGAGACATTCTAGTCGCACGCTGTCAAGTTTGGAAAGATGTTCTACATAATGAATTTCAGAACAGTGAGCGTCCGGGACCTGAAAAGCACTTACCAGCTTCTGAAGCCACAGCAGAATGTCATTCTGGAACTGGGTGTCCTCGATGAGCCGCCGGGTGAAGCTGAACAAAACACTGATACATTCCTTCAATAAGATGAGATCGGAGTGAGATCCCTCCAGCTTCTGAGGAGCTGCGGGAAACATGGAGGGGAGGATGATGGGAAGAACATGGCAAAGTGAACATCAGGAACAATATTTACTATACAGCTTCATGGAGATGACCTGAAAGTCCATGGAGCCATCATTCTTTCATCTTTATGTGACAGTCCATGCATGAGGAAAAAAGCACCATTATTGCTTTTACCAAATTAAATTCTTGCACATTTTTAAAATGTCATTATGTATTTACTTCACAAACCTTATATAATAATACTAAAGGGGTGACAGCAGCCACTTATCGCAGAGGCATTAAGTCGTTTTGGTCTACGGGCAAAAAAATAAAGATGATATACTCAACTGATCCTCGGTCCTGCAGCAGTGAACGCTCTGGCTTTGGTATGTCCCGCGGCGTCCTCACATCTAATGGACCTGCATAAGACGCGAGGATGTCACGGGTCCTTAGACCACTGGAGCCAAGGGAAGAAGAGGTTGCCGGGGCCAGTGTAAGCAGCCAGGCAGGCCTGAGAATTGGGTGAGTATTTTGTCTTTATTTTTGCCCCCCTAAAGAAGGAGAAGGATCCTGGGTCCATCCAGATCCCAAAGACGATTGCCAGCAGTATCTACCGGCCCACCCCATTAGGTAAGTTTTATAAGGCTTAAAGGCCAAGTCCAGCTTATCCAAAAAGTAATAAATGCACACACATTAACCCTTTCGCTGCCAAGGACGTACGTCGTACGGAGCTACAAAAGTGCTTCCAGCTGGCCAGCTCAGTACGTCGTACGGACCTGGCATTTACAGTTCTACTATAAGCTGATGGTCGCTTTAGCGACTATCAGCTTATAGTAGAACTGTTCAGCAGACTGTCCCCTTTAAATTAATAGCTGTCATCAGCGGCTCACAAGCCGCTGATGAC